GCCATGATCCTTCTGCCTCAGCCTCCCTAGTGCTGGGATTACAGGCGTGCGCCACCTTGCCTGGCCTTGGGTTGTTTTTTTAGTTCCTTGACATTTATTTATTTTTGTACCGAGAATCGAACTCAGGACTTTGCACTTGCTAGAGTTTGTTTTTTTGTTGTTTTTTTTTTTTTCCCCCCGGTACCGGCGATCGTACTCGCAACCTTGCACTTGCCGGGCAGGTACTGTGCCACTGAGCTAAATCCCCAGACCCTAGAGTTTGTTTTTTTGAGACAGGGTCTCACCATGTAGTTCAGGCTACTATGTAGCTCAGGCTGACCTCAAAGTCGCAGATTCATTTGCTTCAGCCTCCTGAGTACTGGGATCACAGGCATGCGCCACAACACCTGGTTTTTCAACCATTTTATTTTATTTATTTATTTTTTTGGGGGGTGTTCCGGTACCAGGAATCGAACTCATGACCTCGCGCTTGCCAGACAGGCGCTGTGCCACTGAGCTAAATCCCCGGGCCCTTTTCAACCATTTTAGAGTAAAAATTTAAACCGTGCGTGGTGGTGCAAACCTGTAATTCCAGCACTTGGGAGGCTGAGACAGGACGATCGTTGCAAGTTCAAGACCAGCCTGGGCTGCAAAGTGAGCTCAAGACCAGCCTGGACTGCAAAGTGAGCTCAAGGCAAGCCAGAACTGCATAGTGAGACCCTGTCTCAAAAAGACAAAAAATAAAATAAAATAAAGTAAAAATTTAGTTGACAGGCTGTACAAAAGCGATAGATCCATCTCAAGAAAGGTGGAACCCATTTTTTGTTGTTGTTGTTGTTTTCCGGTATCAGGAATCGAACTCACAACTTTGGGCTTGCCAGGCAGGCGCTGTGCCGCTGAGCTAAATCCCCAGCCCATTGGAACCCATTTTTTATTGATTTTAGAATTAGAATTATGACAAGCTTTTATTATTCCAGAGAGGGCCCCACGGCCTGACCAACTGCACAGGGCAGGGAGGGTCAGTTAACCTGCAGAGCTTTCGGTGGTGAGGGTGAAACAAGGACCTTCCTGGTGATGGAGTCTGAAGCCTTTATGACGCTGTTTTCTGATCTGGAAAGTCCTGACAATAATCTCGACCTTAGAAAGTTAAGAGGTTTGAATGCAATAAAGGATAGTAGGGCATTTTATAAAATACAAATGTTTTTTTCACTTATTTCCACAGGTGCAAGTTGCCAGATGTTACACTCACTTGATCCCACTGGAAAGCCTGCTACAAAGTTTGATAGGACACTGTCTCTTTAAATTCTTCCCAAACACCTAAAGTAGTCGGACGAGTCGGCACATGCGTATTCCTCTGCACGACCCCCAGCCTTCCCCTTTAGCCAGAGGTAGGGAGGTAAAAGGTCCTCCCACACAGTACTTCTACGCAAGCGCATATTATGATTGAGAGCACTATATCACGCTGTGAGCCCAGTCCTTTTTTCGCTCCCGAAGGCTCCGCCTCTCGCGGCCAATCAGCGAGACGTGCTGTCCGCCATGGCCAATGGCAGCTAGTGTGGGGGCGTGGCCTGGCGTCCGGGGGCGCGGCCAGAGACTGAGAGAAGCGGTGGGGCGAGCCGGGGGCTCTAGTGAACGGCGCAGCCGGACTGGATCACCGGCGGGAGGTCCGCGGAGGCGGCCCGGGCCCGGCGGTCCCCGAAATGTCAGCATGGCTGAGTTCGTGGTCGAACTCTGTGAAAGAGCGGGTGTGCCGCTACTTGCTGCAGCACTACTTGGGTCACTTCTTCCAGGAGAACCTCAGCGTGGACCAGCTCAGCCTGGATCTCTACAAGGGCAGCGTTGCCCTGCGGGACATCCACTTGGACATCTGGGTGAGGAGCTAGGCCGGGACTGGGAACGGGCCGGGGATGGGAGCGCAGCGACGCGGGGCTCAGGCGAGAGTCTGGCGGGGGACCCGGGGCCAGGCCGCCTCGGGCGACCTCTGGGCGTCGGGGCGCCCCGCTGGTTGCTTCAGCCCCTTCCCAGAGACAGGCAGGGGAGCGAACGTCACCTGTCCGGGAGTGCCAGCATAGTGACCTCGAGGTCGGGGGCGAGGGAAGGGTTGAGAGGGACTGGAGGGTGGAGGGCTTCGGTGGAATGGGGCCGGGGAAGTGACGGAGTTGGGGACAGGGCGGCCGGTATGGAAGGCTAGGGTAGGGGTCCAGGTCCCTGGTGAAGGCACCTGTGGAAAATGCGCCCTGACCTCCTGACCCCACAACCCCGAGCCCGGTGGGTGGGGTTCGCTCCGGATGTGGATGTCAACAACAGCGTCAGCGCCCGTGTTGATCAACACGGCGTGTGACTGCCGCCGCCGCCGCCGCCGCAGTCTACTTCCTGCTTTTAGGAGAGTAGGGCAGACCCAGCGTTGTTTAGGGAGAGACTGGGGCCCTGCATCCCCACCTGGGGGCCGCCCTCAAGGAGGACTGGACGTCTGGCCTGGGCTAGGGGGAAGCAGAGGAGAGATGCTGGAAAGCTGAACGAAGGTCGGGGAAGAAAGGTCTGAGCTGGAGGCCTGAGGCCCAGGCATGGGTGAAGGGCCCGGCTCAGCACTCAGCTGACCTGGGGGACAGCAGAGGCGCCACCAAGTAGAGGCCCAGTTTAGGATGGTACTGGGTCTACCTTCTAGGTCCAGAGCAGCACAGCGGGCACAGGTGCAGGGCCTTCTCTGTTGGTGGCCTCAGGGATCTGTGCTCTGGGCAGGAAGAGCTAGATTCAAAGGCAAGCTAGGCCTTGGGAGCCTCCTGAGTTGGGGACACCTCCCAATAGTCTGTTGTCTATGAGGTCCAGTGTGGGAGGGCTTCTGACCTCACCCTCTTGGCTGGCCCAGACCTCTGAGTGCTCTAGAAAGCACTCCCCAGTGCCCTCCCCTCTTGGTGGGTGCTCCTGGGCTCCTGGCTAGGCTACTTGGTTTTGTTTTGTTTTGTTTTTTTTTGATCCTCCTGCCTCAGCCTCCTCAAGTGCTGGAATTATAGGCGTGCCGGCTTTGTTTTTTTTTAAAAGATAGTCTATGTACTCTGGGCTGGCCTTGAATTCAAATTTACTATGTAGCCCACCCCTCCACCCCCAGGCTGGCCTTGACTCTGGCTCCTCCTGCCCCAGCCTCCCAAGCACTGAGATTAAGGTGTGTGTCACCACACCTAGCTTCTACCTGTGCTTGTTTATTTGCGCGTCCAACAAGAGCTTTTTGAGGCTTCCCTGGAGACACCATACAGGAGAGCACTGCGGCCACTGAAGAAGGCAAGTGACGGCTGCCTTGACAAGCTCCCAGGCCGCTAGGGGTGCAGGCATTTGCAGGAGCTTGGTCTTTTTTTTTTTTTTTTGCTATCAGGAATGAAACTCACAACCTCTTGCTTGCCCGGTAGGCGCCATGCTGCTGAACTACTGAGCTACATCCCCAGCTTGGGAGCTAGCTCTTGTACCTCAGAACCACACCAGTGTCTGAGGTTTAAGGGTCCCACCTGTTAAACTCTATGCTTGCCCAGGGTGAACATGGGGTGCTCTGCCCTCTGCCAGGCTGGCCCATACCTAGAATATGCCACAGTCTGTCCCTGCCTGCTGCCTTGTCCTTGCTTTCTCAGGGCCCCCGGGCTGGATTAGGTACAGTCCCCTCCTCTGTGCCTCCTTCTCTTTGTGTTTCTTCCTGATGTGCGAGGAGTCCACTGGATGTGGCCTAATTGGGTTAAAGATGAAGACATTTTATTTGCCCATGTTGTCTGGACATGAGCACATAGAAGATGCTCAGTTTTTTTGTGGGGGGGTATAGCTGTACTAGGGATTGAACCCAAGTCTTTTGCCCTAACCTACATCCTAGGCCTTATTCATTGTTTTTTTAGGTTTTTTTGTGTTTTTTTCCGGTACCGGGAATCGAACTCAACGACCTCACACTTGCCAGGCAGGCGCTGTGCTGCTGAGCTAAATCTGTAGCCCCTTCGTTGTATTTTTAGACAGTCTTGGTCTATAGTTAAGGCTGGACTTGAACTCACTACATATCCCAGGCTGGCCTTGAGCATGTGGCAATTCTCCTGCCTCAGTCTCCAGAGTAACATGTGGGGATTACAGGTGTACACCACCACCTCTGGTGAGACATGGGTTGTATAAATTGCTCAGGATGGGTTTGAATGCATTACCTCCTGCCTCACCCTTCCAGAGTTCTGGGATTACAAGGTGTGCTTTACTGCCCCCAGCAATGATTTTTGAGTTGAATGGAGAGGGAAGCATTTGAGGTGGTTTGAAGGGTTGAGCCCCATTGGATGGGATAGCAGGGTAGGCCAGGGTGGCGAGCACCATGAACCACAGCAAGGCCTGTGGACAGCATGCAGAGGGATCGGAGAGCACTGTCCAAGACGAGTGGCCAAAGTAAGACTGTGGCAGCCAGATGTGGACTGCACTGAGCTTGCTTTGTCCCTTGTCTGCCCCCAGGCTGTGAACGAGGTGCTGGAGTCCATGGAGCTGCCCCTGGAGCTGGTGGACGGCTTCTTTAGCTCCATCGAGGTGGCTGTGCCCTGGGCTGCGCTACTCACAGACCACTGCACTGTGCAAGTGTCAGGCCTCCAGCTCACCCTGCAGCCCCGCCAGGGCCCAGGTGAGGTCAGGCACGGCTGTGGCAGGTACCTGGGAGGAGCTGCTTGAGTCTGGTTACCCTGAGACTCACTTTCTCCCTCAGGGCCAGGGGCTGCTGACTCGCAGACCTGGGCTTCATGTATGACCACGAGCCTGCAGCTGGCCCAGGAATGTCTGCGTGATGGGCTGTCTGAGCCCTCAGAGCCACCACAGCTCCTAGAGGGGTTAGAGATGTTTGCGCAGACCATCGAAACTGGTACGTAGGCCCTTCTTACCTACCCTGGCTTCATCCCTTTTGTGGCCCGGGAACAGAGGCTGCGGGTAGCAGAGCTACCCGGCTGCCCACAGGGGAAATGACTTCTGTCTAGCTGCTCTACCTGACCTGAGCCCCACACCACCCCCAGTGCTGCGGAGTATCAAGGTGACCTTCCTGGACACTGTTGTGAGGGTGGAGCACTCGCCCACTGACCGTGAGCACGGTGTGGCCCTGGAGGTCCATGTGCAGAGGTAGGGGCAGGCTAGTTGGGGTGGGCTAGTGGGAGCTGCTGCATGGCCTACCGACCCCACCTCTGCTTAGCCCAGACTCCTGGGAATGGGTGGGCCAGGGCCATGGTGGGCTGGGGAGTTGGGCTGTGTTGGGAACCTAGACTGGTGGTCAGGGCGAGGCCGTGCAGGCCCAGAGTGACTGGGGTCCTGAGCACCAGGTTAGATCCTGAGGGTCAGAGGAACAAGGGTCAGCCTGAGCCCCCCCAGCTGGACGTGGTGGTCCAAGATGGCCTGGGTATGATGAGCAGCTCTGCAGGTTGGGCTCCCCAAACCCATGCCCCTAGAACAGAGCACTGTGTGGAGAGAGGGCTCCAGGCCTGGGGTGGCCGGGACAAGGGCTGACCCTGCACTCCCCAGACTGGAGTACTGTGATGAGGCGTTACGGGACCCAAGCCAGGCGCCCCCCATAGATGTGCACCAGCCACCTGCCTTCCTACACAAGCTGCTGCAGCTGGTGGGCATCCGCCTGCACTTTGAGGAGCTCCCCTCACAGGTGAGCAGACTACTTGCTCCCTTGCCCTTGATCCCCCTGCCTGCCTCCATCCCTCTGACCTTCTTCTCAACTCCCCCCCAGGCAGAACCACCAGACCTCCCCTTGCAGATTGGCAGCTGCTCGGGGTGTATGGAGCTGATAGTAAAGCTGAAGCAGAATGAGGCTCTCCCAGGGCCCAAGGTGGGTCCCCAGCTGCTTGGGGAGGAGAGAATGTGACCCTTCTCAGCCCTGGCCTCAGTGATCCAGTCATCCCTAGGCCAGGGTGGCAGGAGTGGAACATCAAGCGGGAGAGGTTACCTCTGTCTTGGCAGTTAGAGGAATCAAAGCTCATACAGCTAGTTGGTGACAGAATTTAGTGTAACAGCGGGCATCTCTTCTTCCCCAGGGAGAGAGTAGGTGGGTGGGAGCTCCCAGAGGGGCTGGGTGGTAGGCCCAGGTACCATGTCTGTTCCCTTGCCCCCCAGTTGGAGGTGGCAGGACAGTTGGGCTCCCTGCACCTGCTCCTGACCCCTCGGCAACTCCAGCAGCTCCAGGAACTTCTCAGCGCTGTCAGCCTTGCTGGTGAGGCTTCTGGGTGGTCCAGGGTGAGTGGCAAGGGAAGGCCAGCCAAGCTGGACTGAAATACCCTCCCCTACAGAACCAGAAGGTCTGGCTGACAAGTTGAACAAGAGCCGCCCGTTAGGTGCTGAAGACCTGTGGCTGATTGAGCAGGATCTGAACCAGCAGCTGCAGGCCGGCGCTGTGGCCGAGCCCCTCAGCCCGGATCCCCTTACCACCCCTCTTCTCAATGTGGACAGCACTGGTGGGTGTGGGGCCATTGCGGTTGGCGGGCAGCTATGCGTTCAGGAGCCCAGGGGATCGAATCTGTCTGTCCTGACTCTCTCGCTTTGTCCTCAGACCTCTTCTTCTCCATGGCTGGCCTCACAAGCAGTGTGACCTCAGCTGTCTCGGAGATGTCCCTCTCTGACGTAGACCTGGGCTCCTCTGTGCACAGCAACATGGCCTCCCGCCGGCTCTCTGCCCCGACCCACGCAGCTGGTGAGTTGGGGACCTTGGGCGGTGCTCTAGGGGCAAGAATAGAAGTCACCTCGATAGAAGAAGCTTCTATCCTGTGGGCTGTCAGATGTACCTGAGAGCACCCCCTCCGTGATGCCTGGAGACCAGCCACCTCTGACTCAGTTTCCCAGGGACCTGGCTCGGGAGGCGGTGGTGCAGTGGACTTGGCCTAGGTGGCCAAGTCCATGCTCTTGGTCAAGTGCTTACACTTCCTAAGAGTCAGTCTCCCCTTCTATGCAAAGAGCAAGCTGTATGTTTCAGTCAGTGTTTGAGCTTATTGTGGGTCAGGCAATGAGCTGGAGGCTTTAATCACATCAACCAATCCTTTTAGCACAAGAGGGTATGTGAGCCTGGTCAGAGGGTATAGCCAGTCCCCAGTAACCCCGTGATGGGCAGGTTTGGCCCCCACAATGCAGCTTGCCCAGTTTCTCCAGATCCTAGGTCTCTGGCTGTCTGTCACTCCATATGGGGTCCTCATGAGCTCCCAGGAGCCCCTTGTGAAGCCTCTGTCCCTCCAGGAAAGGCGGCCCCCACTCTCTTTCCGGACACCATGCGCCCTGACTCGCTGCTGAAGATGAGCTTGGGGGGCATGACCTTGACCCTGCTCCAGACTTGCGCCCCGTCTTCTGGACCACCCAACCTCGCCACCCACTTTTTTACTGAGTTTGATGCCACCAAGGATGGGCCCTTCGGCTCCCGAGACTTCCACCACCTTCGGCCGTGCTTCGAGAAAGCCTGTCCCTGTAGCCATGTCCGGTATAAGCCACAAATCCAAGGCCGGGACCTGCATTGAGAGCTCTGGTGTCTCCAGATCCATCTTCTGATGGTGTCTTCTTTCCCACAGGCTGACAGGCACTGCTGTGCAGCTGTCATGGGAGCTGCGGACTGGTGGTCGGGGCCGGCGAGTGACCAGCACAGATGTGCACTTTGGGCAACTGGAGGTGCTGGAGTGCCTGTGGCCCCGGGGCAGTTCTGAGCCCGAGTACGTGGAGGTGAGTGCAGAGGTGAGGCCTGAGGGCTTGGGTGGGCATGGAGGGCAGCCTGACCTTGCTCACCTCCCATGTCCCATCCCAGATCCTGAGTTTTCCCAGTAACCTGGGCTCCCAGGCCTCAGCTCAACCCTGTGCCCACCTGCGTCACACACAGACCCTGCGCCGCGTGCCCAAGGTAACCTGCTCTGGGCTGAGGGACTGTTGGCTGCTTCCCACGGTTTGTTGACTCCCCTGGGCTCTGTCAGTGTCTCCTCGGCCCTGGCCCCCCTACCTCCGTGCCCCAACCAGCGACACCAAGCTATTGCGGGGCCCTGGACCGCTTCCTGTGTGCTTGGTGCCTGCCATTCTTAGCCTGGTGGCCTCTTCTCTGTCTCGGTGCAGCAATCGGCTGGGCCTCCGCAGGTGGGAGGGGCAAGTGACAGGTGGTTTTTTCAAATCAGCATGTCTTCCGTGTTGGCAGGGCGAGAGGGCGTCAGATGTCCACTGCAGCCCCCTCTTGGGTTCCCTGTCCGAGCTTCCCCCACCACCAGGAACACTTGGGTTTTGTGTCGAGGAAGCCCTTTCCCATCGTCGCCTCTTAGCCACCTCTGTGCTAAACACCTTCACCCCCAAACAGAGCCGGCCCCGGCGCTCTCTTGCCTGCCATTGCCACTCAGACCTGGCCCTGGACCTGGCTGACTTCCAGGCGGATGTGGAGCTGGGGGCTCTGGACCGACTCGCTGCCCTGCTGCACCTCGCCACTACACCCCCCGAGCCGCCAGCCGGCCTGCTGGTGAGATGTCCTCCTGGGGCCTGGCTCTAGCAGACAGCAGCACGCGGTCCTCTGGTTCTTGACTGTAGTGATAGGAGCCTTGATGGCTCCTCTGATCCCAACTTTTCCACAGACAGAGCCCCCGCTGGCCACTGAACATCGGACAGTGTTTCGGCTGTCAGCACCCCGGGCCACACTGAGGCTGCGCTTCCCCATCGCCGACCTGCGGCCTGAACGAGACCCTTGGGCAGGCCGAGCTGTGCGGGCTGAGCAGCTGCGGCTGGAGCTGAGTGAGCCCCAGTTCCGGTCAGAGCTTAGCAGTGGACCTGGTCCCCCAGCCCCTACCCGCCTGGAAATCACCTGCTCTGACTTGCACGGTAAGAGCACCTGGCAGACGACACCAGGGCAGGGGCAGAGGTGTCTGGTGAAGGTGGCCTTGGGGTCACAGTTGGAGCAGGCCCTGGCACAGACCTTTACCAGCTCTGTGGGCACTGCCATTGAGTGGAGGAGAGCGGAGGAGCAGGCCCTTCATCTCTGGGCTGCTGCATGCTATGAGTGCCTGATCAGATGCCTCTCACCCGTCCACACCCCTTCCAGCAACCTATGAAGGTGGAGAGAAGCCACCCGTCCCCTGTCTGCGTGTCTCCAAAACCCTGGACCCCAAGAGCCCGGGCCGAAAGTACTTCCTGCCCCAGTAAGTAAGGGCTGAGGAGGAGGACTCTGTGGCTGGGGATGGCTGGGGGCCAGGTTCCAGTGGTCAGACGGTGACAGGTCTATGTCCCGGCAGGGTAGTGGTGACCCTGAACCCCCAGTCCAGCAGCATACAGTGGGAGGCAGCCCCAGACAAGGCAGAGGAGCTGGAGCTGTCCACCGAGAGCCCATGCGAGCTGCGGGAGCCTGAGCCCTCGCCTTTCTCCTCCAAGAGGACCATGTATGAGACAGAAGAGGTGAAGCCCGACCCCCGCTCTGCCATGAGAGCCAGCTGTGTGATGGGGCTGGGTGACAGGACCACCTGGGTGGGCATGGTTGACCCAATACATGAGTGAGAATTTGTGTTTCTTACTTGGAACCAGTAAGGGAGTCGGAAGGCCCCGCCTCTGTTCAGGGCCAGGAGGGAAGCCCATTGGCAAAGAGAGCCCCCTGGTGGGGAGGATCAGGACCCCAGGCTACTGCAGCTGCCCTATACTTGGGCCTAGAGATGTTTTTCTGAAGTGGATGAAGGCTGAATCAGAGGCACTTGGGGCCTGGCCTGTGGGGCCAATTTGCCTGGGGCTGAGTGCAGGCCCTGCCGCTTTAGTTGTGTCATCTTGGGGAGTTTCCTCCCCCAGGAAATGAGCACAAGGACTCTGTCTCATAGGCCACTGGGAGGGTTAAAGGAGTTCATGCCCTTAGATCAGGGTCAGTATGCCACCAGCACGGGGTGGGCACATACACTCCCTGCAGGTAAGAAAGGGCCCCTATGAAAGAGTGAATGAATGAATGGTGGTCAGGACTCAGGCCAGTCTCTGACCAGAGCCAGCGACAGGACCCAAGACGTCTGAGACGACATCCCACGAGCTTTTCCCCTTCCTTGTCTAGATGGTGATTCCTGGAGACCCGGAGGAGATGAGGACGTTCCAGAGCCGGACCCTAGCACTGTCCCGCTGTAGCCTGGAAGTGACCCTGCCCAGTGCCCACATCTTTCTGCCCAGCAAGGAGGTCTACGAGAGCATCTACAATAGGTGGGGACCCAGGCCAGGCGGGACAGGGCCGGGGGCAGAGCCATCTGTGCTCACCTGCCGTCGCTCCCCTTTCTCAGGGTCAACAACGACCTGCTCATGTGGGAGCCTGCAGACCTGCTCCCCACTCATGGCCCCGCCACCCACTCCTCTGGCTTCCTCAGCTCCTCGGGCCTCTGGCACAACAGCTTCAAGATGTGCAAGTCAGCCTTCAAGCTGGGTATGAGGAGCGTTCTGTGGGGCCAGAGGGAGGGTGCAGGGCAGGGCTGACCAGGCCTCCCAGGCTCTGCTACCATTGGCCACCTTGATCTCATCCCAGACTCAGACTCAGATGATGAGGACGTCCACTTCTTCTCAGTGGGGGCATCAGGTGCCCCCCGGGGTCCCGCCCCTGAGCCCTCGAGCCGCCAGTCCCAGAGCACCTTCTCTACGCTGGTGACAGTGCTGAAGGGTAGAATCACAGCCCTCTGTGAGGCCAAGGTGAGGGCAGCCCTGGCCAGGTGAGCCCCAAGCCCTCTGGGCAGGAGAGAGGATAAACATGGCCCCTGCATGAGGGACACAGGAAGTAGGAACCCCAAGTAAGTGGTCAGCGGCATGCACCTGTCGCCCTGACCCACACACGCCAGCCCACCTGTCCTATTGTACCTGGCAGCTGCTTATTAGCACCCTGTCCTTGTAAAGCCCCATACTGGGTGGGCATGAGAATGGGCCCCATTTGTACCCATGAGGCAGGCTGGGCAGAGATGATTCTCCTTCGCATAAAAGGCAGGTGCTGCCAGCGCCCGGGGAGTCTGACAGCAGGACTCCCGTAGACGCCTCACGGAGGCCATGGGAGCTGCAGAGAGCAGCGGGCGAAGCCAGGTGTGTGCTCTGTCTGCAGAATGAGAGTGGGAAGCGGCTGGAGGGCATGCACGGTGAGATGGTGCTGGATGTGGAGCATGGCACCCTCTTCAGCGTCTCTCAGTACCATGGCCAGCCGGGGCTCGGCTACTTCTGCCTGGAAGCTGAAAAGGCAACACTCTACCACCGAGGTTTGTGGGCTGGGGCTGGTTGCGGCTATGTCCCTAGGGCTTGAGTGGACCGGGCCACCAGTGCCTGGCAAGGGACTCACAAGATCCCTCCCCAGCGGCCTTGGATGACTATGTGCTGCCCAGTCACCTGCATCTGCCCAGCTTTGTCCCCCCGGCCCACCTGGCCCCGACCATCTACCCATCTGAGGAAGGGGTGATTGAGCAGGGAGCCTCAGGCTGCAAGGGGCAGGGGCGTGGCGCCCCCATGCTGACTGCTGCTGTGCGCATCCACTTGGACCCCCACAAAAACGTCAAGGTGTGGCTTCCTGTCTGTATGGCTGGGTGGCTGCCTCCCCAGTGGGTGCAAGAGTTCTGTTCCTCACCCTGACTGTGCCCCAACCCCCAGGAGTTCTTGGTGACACTACGGCTGCACAAGGCCACACTGCGCCACTATATGTCCCTGCCTGAACAGAGCTGGCACTCCCAGGTAAGCAAAGGTGGCTTGGACTTTCGATTTGGGTGGGCACGTCAGAGGGGGCCCAAGGAGCCAGTATGAGGGGCAAGGGCTGGGCCAGAGCACCCAGAAAGGGATGTGATGGGCAGTGCGGGGGGAGGCAGGGGGCTGCCTATGCTCACCATCCCCCAACCCTGGCCTGGAAGCTGTTGGAGTTCTTAGACGTGCTGGACGACCCTGTGCTGGGCTACCTGCCCCCGACAGTCATCACCGTCCTGCACACACACCTGTTCTCCTGTGCTGTGGACTACAGGTACCCAGGCCGTGTGGGCCGGGGTGGGGCGGGGGTGGGGCAGGGCCTCAGGTATAAGGAGCTCACCTTGGCCACGTGTGACTGCCCCCCAGACCCCTCTACCTCCCAGTGCGCGTCCTCATCACTGCCGAGACCTTCACGCTGTCCAGCAACATCGTCATGGACACGTCAACCTTCTTGCTCAGGTATGTGGGCTGCAGCTGCCTGCCTGCTGCATGTGCTGGGCTGTCTCTGGCCCTTCCCTCAGGAATGTGCAGTTTCCACTTGCTTTGAGGAGACCTGGGCACCTCACATCAGCCTTAAAAGCCTCTGTGAGCTGTCTGACGTGGTAATCTCACTTGAGGATATAAGGAAAAGAGATGGAATGGACTGCCTCTGTCGTGCAGTGTAGCACAGTCCTGACTAGGGCAGGGAAAGCACTCAGTGGCAGAGCACACATTCAGCCTGTGTGAGGCTCTGAGTTTGATCCTCAGCACCACAAAAACATTAAACACGCCAAACTTAGCGACAGTGTAAATGCCTCCAAATCACCCCAAGTAATGGTCAAGCCCACATTACTGCATAGGACAGTACAGCCGCTAACATGGAGTTGAAGAATAACATAGAGGGGCGAAGTAAGAAGAATTCAGATGTGTTATGTAAATGTGACTGTAATTATTACAGTTATTACTGCAAACATGAACTCCTAAAAATGAAGTTAGCTGCCTCAAATTAAAAAAAAAAAATAACGTTAAAAAAATAGTTTTTTTGAGGCAGGGTCTCACTGTACAGTTCAGACTGGCCTTGAAGTCACTTTGCAGCCCAGGCTGGTTTTGAACTCGCAACAATCCTCCTGCCTCAGCCTCCCAAGTGCTGGAATTACAGATGTGTGCCACCATGCCCGGCTCTAAGACTACGTGTTTTTTATTTATTTATTTTCATTGTTTTGGGGGGTTTTTTGGTTTTTTTGAGAGAGGGTTTCACGGTATAGTTCAGGGTGCCCCTAAACTCACTATGTAGCCCAGGCTGGCCTTAAACTTGTAGCAATCTTCCTGCCTCAGCCTCCCAGTGCTGGGATTGTAGGTATGTGCCACCACGCCCAGTTTAAGACTACTTACTGGGTGTGGTGGCACACGCCTGTAATCCCAGCACTTGGGAGGCTGAGGAAGGAGTGAGTTTGAGATCAGCTTGGGCTACAAAGTGAGCTCAAGGCCAGCCTGAACTGCATAGCAAGACACCATTTCAAAAAGACCAAAAAAAAAAAAAAAGGGGGGTGGTGTGGTGGTGCATCCCTGTAATCCCAGCACTTGGGAGGCTAAGGCAAGAGGATTGTTGGGAGTTTGAGACCAGCCTGGGCAACAAAATTAGCTCAAGGCCAGCCTGAAGTACCTAGTGAGACCCTGTCTCAAAAAGACACACATACACAAAAAAACCCCTAGAAAGAAGCATGTATGATTTTTCTTAGAATTTGAGATTTTGCTGGAATATAGCTCAGTGACACTATGCCTGCCTGACAAGCGCAAGGTTATGAGTTCAATTCCCAGTACCAAAACAAAACAAAACAATTTGAGATGTGACATGAGTAGCTTTAATTTTTTATTGTTATTGTAATATTAGTTCTAAAATAATCTTAAGTCAGGCAGAGCAGTACATGCCTGTAGTCTCAGCACCCTGGGAAGCTGAGGCAGGAGGATTGCAAGTTAAAGGACAGCCTGGGAGGCTTAGCAACTTAATAAGACCCTTCCTCAAAGTAAAAAATAAAAAAGGACTAGGGGAAAGCTCAGTGCCAAGGCCTTGGGTTCAGTCTCCATTACTACAAAACAAAACAAGACAGAATGGGTTTGTTTTGAAAGAACAGTAAGTAGATGCTACTGTAGTGACACCCCAACCCCAGCCCTGGCTGAGTTTGTGAGACCTAAGAGGTGATGGAGCCGAAGTGGTTAGAGAACCTAGAGCCGCTCGTGGGAAGTGAGCGAGTACCTTTGCCTGGGTCTGCTGCACCGCCCACAGTATAGGCAAGCCCACTGAGGCGGGAGGGCTCCTCCCATGAGGGCTTCTGTGGGCTTGGGTCTCCCACTTCTCCAGGTACTCCCCTGCCCGGCCTGGCTGCTGTGGAGCTGCCACCTGCAGTGGCTCCCGGGCCCTTCTCAGCCCTGTTCCCCACCAGGTTCATCCTCGACGACTCCGCTTTGTACCTGTCCGACAAGTGTGAGGTGGAGACGCTGGATCTCCGGCGAGGTGGGCAGGGCCCAGCCTGTGCTCCCAGTGCTCCGGGGGCACAGTCCTGCCACAGCCACACACAGCGTGGCCCCGTGTCCTCCCCATCTGCTGTCCTGGCTCTCTACCCCCCACACACATGCATGCACATCCCCTAGCCACCCTGGGACACCCCGATTCTGCCCCCGGGAGGTGGCCACGGGCTGGGCAGGAGCTGGTTGCAAGGTGGCCACGGGTTCCTTTTCCGCCTCTGCCACAGATTATGTCTGTGTCCTGGATGTTGACCTCCTGGAGCTGGTGATCAAAACGTGGAAGGGGAGCACAGAGGGCAAACTGGTGAGTGGCCATCACCGGGCCAGGGAGCCTGGGGTGTCAGGGTGCCCACCCTTCCCTGCTAGGTGGCAAGAGCGCCTTGTCTGCCAAGAGGGTGAGCGTGTCTGCCAAGAGGGTGAGCGTTTCCGCCTTGCCACCAGAGGGCAGCTGTAGGCAGGCAGAGCAGAGCAGGGCCCCAGGAGTGTGACGGCACCTGGGCCCTCAGGTTCCCTATTCCGGAAGTGAGACAGCAGGCCCTGCCTCACTGGGCCCAGGAGACCCCGTGGGTGCCAGGGTGGGGCCCTCGGTGGTCAAGACCTTATCTGGGCTCAGTCTGCACATCTGTGGTGGGGACACCAGGCAGGCTCAGCCCCCAAAGGCAGACCTGGCTCACCTCTCTTCGAAGTTCCTCCTGGGTGGGTGGCCTAGGGGCAAGGGGCCTGCACTCATGCCACCTCACCCCGCCCACGGCAGAGCCAGCCGCTGTTTGAGCTGCGCTGCTCCAACAACGTGGTGCACATACACAGCTGCGCCGACTCCTGTGCCCTGCTGACCAACCTGCTCCAGTACGTAATGAGCGCGGGCGACCTGCACCCCCCGCCCCGGCCCCCCAGCCCCACGGAGATCGCCGGCCAGAAGGTACAGGTGAGGCCTGGCCACACAGGCTACCAAAGCTCGGCCAGGCCCCTCCCCTGCACGGCCCTCAGGGCCTGGGGTTGGGGGAGCCCTGGGACCACCGCGCCTTGGGGACAAGGGGTGAGCTTATCGCTGTCCGCCCCTGCCCAGCTGTCTGAGAGCCCTGCCTCCCTGCCGTCCTGCCCCCCTGCGGAGACGGCCCTCATCAACCAGCGGGACCTGACCGACGCTCTCCTGGACACGGAGCGCAGCCTGCGTGAGCTGACAGAGTCCTCAGGTGAGGAGGGGGCGCTTTGGGGGCAGCTGATGCAGGCGCCTCCGGCACTGTCTCCCCAAGCTGGCCTCTCTCCTGTAGGTGACCCACTCCCTCAGGCCTCACCCGTCTCTGTCTACCTGTTCCCTGGTGAACGGAGTGGGGCCAAGCCCCCTTCACCCCCTCCTGGGGGCCCTGCCGACAGCTTAGGGTCCTGTCCCGAGGCCACAGACGATGACAAGGAAGAGGAGGGGGACGGAGACACCCTGGACAGTGACGAGTTCTGCATCCTGGACGCACCCGGCCTGGGCATCCCGGTGCGTGGCGGACGGGCTGGCTCAGTCCTGCCTTCCCAGTGCGGGTTAGGGTGGGGAACCAGCACACTGTCGTGGTTGCTGAGCCCGTTTAGGGCTCCCACCATGGGGAGCAGGGAGGGGCACCCTTGGCACTGAGCTTTGGAAGAGTAGGCTGGCATCCACATCTAAGGGGATGGGGGCGTGCCAGGGAGTCGGGTCCAGCAGGAGCCAGGGGCTCTAACCACTGACACAGGTTTGAGGGATGGTAGCCCAAGAGGGTCTTTTTCTGTCAAAAACAGACCACACGGAGAGGGAGGAGTAAGGACAGGGAGAAACGGGAGCTAGGACTGGAGAGCCGGGCCAAGGTGCCTCTGTGCTGCACACCTTCACACCTCCATGTGGCCTCCTCCCGGCAGCCCCGAGACGGAGAGCCTGTGGTGACGCAGTTGCATCCGGGCCCCATCGTCGTGCAGGAGGGACACTTCTCCCGGCCGCTGGGCAGCACAGACCTGCTGCGGGCGCCTGCCCACTTCCCAGTGCCCAGCAGTCGTGTGGTGCTTCGTGAGGTCTCCCTGGTCTGGCACCTCTACGGGGGCCGAGACTTTGGCCCCCATCCCGGCCACAGGTGAGGTGGGGAGGGAGGGCCGGGCGGCAGCTGGCAGTGGAGGCCGGGGCGCTGGTGACCTTGAGCCTCACGTGCCCTTGCTGGCTTCAGTTGGTCCGTCCTCGCCCACCCTGCCTCCTAGGACCGAGGCTGGAGAAGGCGCCTCGCCTTGGACTGAAAGGGCTGCTGAGGTGGGGGCAACACCGCGGCTCCTCTGATCAGCTTGTCCCCTGACCTTCTTCCCAGAGCAAGAGTTGGCCTCACAGGCCCTAGGGGCTCCCCCTCCCGAGGCTCTGGCTCCAACCGGCCCCAGAACTCATGGCGAACACAGGGTGGCAGCGGACGGCAGCACCATGTCCTTATGGAGATCCAGCTCAGCAAGGTAAGGGCTGTGCGGTTATGGGCCCACGTGTCACAGTGAGCACAGCAGAGGAGAGGGCCAGAGGCAGTTCAGGTTTTGGTAGGGAAAGGCGGGAGCCCCTGGGGCCTGGGGGGCCTGTGTCACCCAGTGAGAAGCAGCAGGGGCTGGAGGTGCTGGGTGGCAGGGAGAACCACAGGTTTGGTTCTGCCTGTGTGTGAGACTGTGGACAGCCCTGCAGTAAGTGGGTTTCAACCTGAGAAGTTGCGCAGGGAGGGCCCCACTATCCAAGGGTGTCAAAGGCCAGTGCTGGGCTCCCTGAGGAACTGCTGGGGACAGGCGACAGCACACAGGGCTGTTGGGAGCAGCAGGGGACAGCTCTGAGCAGGGGCCTGGGGTGCCGAGACCTGGCAGGAGCCAGCAACTTCCTGAGAGGAGAGGGAGGGCGCCCTGCAGAGGGCACACAGGGCAAAGGCCTGAGGATGAGACAGCCACACCGAGCAGGGGCAAGGGCGGGGCTGCGGGGAGAGTCGGGGCCTGCTAGACTAGGGCTTGGAGTGTCAGGGGAGCACTTGGGGTGTGGAGACTGGAGTGAGCAGGAAAAGGACCATAGGGGAGGCGCGTGGGGCACCATTGATGAGGGCAGGGTGGAACTTGGGATGACAGAGAAGGCGGGGGCCATTTAGGTGAGGCAGTGGCTGTGGGGATGCGGGCCGGTAGATGTAGGTAAGCAGGTCCAGTTTAGTGTGGCCCAGTGGAGTTTGATGGTGAGATGGTCACATGGAGAGGTCAAGGCAGCCGCCGGATGTGGGGCTGAGGTGGGGACAGGATGAGGAGTTGGGCCTTCCTTCCCCCCCTCCCCGTGGCCCTGCGGTCACCTCAGGCCTCCCTGGGATCCCCCCACAGGTGAGCTTCCAGCACGAGGTATACCCAGAAGAGCCAGCAGCTGACCCTGCTCCAGGCCAGGAGGTGGAGGAGCGGCCCCTGTCCCGCCAGGTGCTCATTGTGCAGGAGCTGGAGATCCGAGACCGGCTTGCCTCCTCCCAGATCAACAAGTTCCTGCATCTGCACACGAGCGAGCGGCTGCCTAGGCGCACCCACTCCAACATGGTGCGCGAGGGGCCGGGGCTCCATGCATGCTCGCGCGGGTTGGGGGCCATCCCTGGGCCGGGGTGGGAGAGAGCAGCACGAGCAGGAGTGGGCTGGTGCCCACAGCTGCCCTCTGCCCTCAGCTCACTGTCAAAGCACTGCACGTGGCCCCTACCACCAACCTGGGCGGCCCTGAGTGCTGTCTGCGCATCTCACTGATGCCGCTGCGGCTCAACGTGGACCAGGCAAGTAGGCAGGGGGCAGAGCCAGGTACGACCAATGCCCTCCCCATGCCTCTTGACCCTGCTTCTGTGATTCTTCCCCGCAGGACGCCCTCTTCTTCCTTAAGGACTTCTTCACCAGCCTAGTGGCTGGCATCAACCCAGTGGTCCCAGGGGAGGCGTCGGAGGGTGAGAAGCCAGGCCAGGGAGGGGAGGTCAGTACCCAGCCGGCCCTGGGCCCGTCTCCGATCGGACGCCTCTCTCCCTAGCTCGCCCTGAGACCCGGGCCCGGCCGGGCAGCCCCCAGGAAGGACAGCCCAGGGGCACAGAGATGAGTGACTCACAGGAGGGCCCCAGTGGTGGACATGGCTCTGCTGAGCAGCAGCCCATCTACTTCAGGTAGGGCTCGGGGCTGGGGGTCGGGGCCAGGGCACAGGTGACCAGGTCCATGACCAAAAGTTTCTTGTCCCTGCCCCGGCCAGGGAGTTCCGCTTCACGTCAGAGGTGCCCATCTGGCTGGATTACCACGGCAAGCACGTCTCCATGGACCAGGTGGTAAGCTTTGGGCTGGCCTCTGGGGCTCCCAGTTGGGCTGGGCTGTGGCCACATCTCCCTGGGGACAGGGCTTACCCCGGTCTGCCGTACCCGTGCCCCTCACACAGCCAAGCCCCTCGCTCCTCAGGGCACCTTCGCAGGCCTCCTCATCGGCCTGGCCCAGCTAAACTGCTCCGAGCTGAAGCTGAAGCGGCTCTGTTGCCGGCACGGGTAAGCCCCACACGCCCTGCCTCTCTGCACAGCCCTGACCTTCGTTTTGCTCTTTTCCTCACTGGTTGTGTGGCCAAGTCTTCAGCCCTTCCAGGGCCTCAGTCTCCCCTCTGTAAAATGGGCCCAGTCGCTCCTCTGCACACAGCTGGGTGAGACTGTGGGAGTATATTGAGTGCCCTAGCACTTGGCATACAGATACTCGGTCTTCCTGGTCCCTATCTCCCCTTGTGTGGCCTCCCCCACCTCCCTCCTCTCTGCTCCCTCCCAGGCTCCTGGGTGTGGACAAAGTGCTAGGCTATGCTCTCAATGAGTGGCTGCAGGACATCCGCAAGAACCAGCTGCCCGGCCTGCTGGGAGGCGTTGGGCCCATGCACTCTGTCGTCCAGCTCTGTGAGTGTTTGCATTTGAAGGCTCTTGAAACTCCCATTCCATCCACTTGGGCTGCCTAGAAACTGCCACTGGGAAAGGAGGAGGCAGATGGGCCAGGAGGGTGGGTGGGAGCAGGGCAGCTTCTGGCATCTCTGACAACCCTGTTCCTCCAGTCCAAGGGTTCCGGGACCTGCTGTGGCTGCCCATTGAGCAGTACAGGAAGGATGGTCGCCTCATGCGGGGGCTGCAGCGGGGGGCTGCCTCCTTCGGCTCATCCACAGCCTCTGCTGCCCTGGAACTGAGCAACAGGCTGGTGCAGGCGATCCAGGTGGGAGCACAGAGAGTTGGAGGCCCAGCGAGCTTGGTTCCCGGAAGCCCCACCAGAGGGCCCCACCCCGGCCAGCGCCAGTGGAGGGAGGTGCTCCGTGCTGGGAGGGTCCGGTTGCTGCAGGCTCAGGCCCGGGGCCAGAAGGATAGGCACTCTGGCCCCAGAGCAGTCAGGTGGCAGAGAAGCAGGGTGCGAGCTAGAACAGGAGCCACTGAGGAAAGCAAGGTCGGGCTGAGTGGTGGTTCCAAGTGTCCGGGTGTCCCCGCTGGGGCCCCCTGGGATGCACAGCCCAGGTCTCAGGCAAGCTGCATCGGTGGCAGCCAGGAAGAGCCGGCCGGGGCGTGGGCATCGGCGGGAGGAAGGTGGGGGTGAGACAGTAGGAAAGTCCCCTTGGGCTGTGCCCTCCCCGGGTGATGGAACTGGGAAGGCAGAGGGACATGGGCAGGCAGAGGGATGCCGGGGGTCCCTGCTGGTGGGGCCTAGGGAGGGGCCGGACACCTTGGTCGTCTCCTCATCCAGCTCTCTGTGTCCTTCAGGCTACTGCTGAGACGGTTTACGACATCCTGTCCCCAGCGGCGCCTGTCTCCCGCTCACTGCAGGATAAGCGCTCTGCGCGGAGGCTGCACAAGGGCCGGCAGCCCGCTGACCTCCGAGAGGGCGTGGCCAAGGCCTACGACGCTGTGCGGGAGGTGAGGGCCCCAGCCCTGCTCCTTTCCTCATCCTCTATCCCCACTCAGACCTCAGCACTGACCTCTGACCTCCACAGGGCATCCTGGACACAGCTCAGACCATCTGTGACGTGGCATCGCGCGGCCATGAACAGAAGGGGCTGACAGGTGCCGTGGGGGGCGTGATCCGCCAGCTGCCCCCAACTGTGGTAAAGCCACTCATTGTGGCCTCAGAGGCCACGTCTAACCTGCTCGGGGGGATGAGGAACCAGATCCTGCCCGACGCCCACAAGGACCATGCCCTCAAGTGGCGCTCAGAGGAGGCCCAGGACTGAGCGGGGCTCCAGGACCACCGTGCTGGCCCACCGCAGGGCTACACCCGCTCTCCGCCTCCTCAGAGCTGCAGCCCACGGGAGCCAGATGCAGGCCCCTCGGACGGCCACTGTGAAGGACACTTGCCTGTTGCCAATCGGTCGTGAGAGTGGGGCCTGCTGCCTGGGGCCTCGGCCCTGTCTGCACTTTTCCTCTGGGGAGAAGGACGCTGCCCTCCCTAGCACAGGCCCCACCGCTCCCTCGACCCAGGATGGAGGCTTTTGGACCCTCAGGCCCGACCCCACTCAGCCAAGTGTCTGTCTCCCGGGGAGTTGGCGACACGCTGTGGGGGTCGGTGTGTTATTTTTAAACTCCGTGAGTGTGTGGGTCAGTGTCTGCATGAAGTGGAATAAACTGCCCACCGCCAGCCCCTCCCCGGGGTCCTTTGTGCCTTCGAGGTTCCCACCTCTGCACCCGGCACCTCCCTGTACCGCCTGGGTGTAGAACGCAGCCCCAGCCACCTGCCCACACCTGACTCCTTCCTTTCTGCTCTGGGCTCCACCCTGCCACTGTCCCAAGGGACTGTCACCTGGGTCCCACTTCAGAGTGGTAGGAGCTGAGTGAACCTCACCCTTGGCCGTTGGAGCTGCCTCACTGGCCGCAGCCTGCTGAGTCCTTGAGACGTCAGGGTCCCCCGTCTTCCCTGTGCAACTGGAGGCTGAGCCCTGGGGTGCACGCACCATCCCTAGCAGAAGCCTTTTGCGGTGATGGAGTCTGGGGGTTCAGGTGCCAGAAGAGCCTGACTGGTCCTTTCCCAGAGGATCCTGTGGGGTCAGGAAAGTGCCCACCCCCACCCTTCAGTCACATTTCCTGTGGACAAGAGGGAGCCCCTGCCGGGCGTGGTGGTGCACACCTGTAATCCCAGCACTCGGGAGGCTGAGGCAGGAGGATCGTTGTGATTTTGAGACCAGCCTGGACTACAAAGTGAGCTTAAGGCCAGCCTGAACTGCATAGTGAGACACTGTCTCAAAAAGACCAAAAAAAAGAGGGAGTCCCTCCACTCCCCAAATCCTCTGTAGTAGCACTGCAAAAGTGGGTGGTTCCCTGAGGAAACGGGCCCATGTTAGGCAACAACCCACACCTTGCTGTTGCCCTGTGTATAGCTCTGAAGCTAGCAAACCACTCGTGCTCCTGGGCCCTGTGCCTGTGCAGCGCCTTCCAGAACCCGCCCCTGCAGATGGGGAGAACTTGGAGGAAGAGCTGGGTACCGGGCACAGGGCAAGAGCTTTGTCCTAGGGGACCCTCGTTCTGACTGCCCATGGCCAGAGGTAGAGACCAAGAGGTGGGGGACGGCCGAGGTATGATGCCACCAGGGGAGGCAGGTGGGGCCCAGTCTGATGCTTCCTGGACCCGCCCCAGCTGCCCGGGCACAGTCCAGCTTTCCTGCCCTTCGAACTGTGACCAGTATTGATGGCCAGGGCTAATGATTAACCGCCACCAGGGGCTGGGCCAACGGCTCAAAAGGTGCTGGGCCCAGGGCATCCCCACTTCCTCCTCGTGCCCTGAGGCCAGCCAAGCACCCAGGTAAGACACCTCTGGGCACTCTGCACCCCCTGTACCCTGAGTGCTTCAGGGCACAGGTATCTTCCTTCAGGGCCACTGGTCCTGAGTGAGAAAGGACAGGAAGTGGGTAGTCCTGGGCCAGCCATTTTCTGTGCCTCTGTTTCTTTGTTTTTGTTTTTTTCTGGTACTGGGAATCGAACTCACAACTTCGTGTTTGCCAGACAGGCGCTGTGCCGCTGAGCTAAATCCCCAGCCACCGTGCCTCTGTTTCTACCTAGGGACAAAAGGGACCACAGTGTCAGCTCTGAGACCACAGTGTCAGCTGCCCAGTGTTGTGGGCCCAGGTCACCTAATCAGCTGCTGTGTCCACCAGCGAAACCCCAGGACCCCACAGGGCAGGAGGCCAGTCCTGCCTAGGCCCTGAGGGTGCTGCCGGGCTTGTGGGGTGTCTGATACCAGCTCTGGTATCTTTTTTTTTTTTTCATTTGGGACTGGGTCTTGCCATGTAGTCCAGGGCAGCCTTGAGCTCACTGTGTTCCCATCTGGCCTCGATCCCACAATCCTACTGCCTTAGCCTCCCAAGTACTGGGATTGCTGGTGTGTGCCTCCACACCCAGCTTGGCCTTTTCATTCCCAGGGCCCTGCCTCCAGGGGAGAGAAATTCTGCCCAAGTGTCCCCATCCTACCTTGACTGCACCCTAGGAATGAGGCACCATTCCTGAGGGGTTGCCGGGCAGCACTGACCCAAGGCCCTGTGCTATGACCGTGGGCAGCCTTCTGCCTCTCTCGGCCCTTCTCGCCCCTTTCAGAGGGGGTCACAGCTCATGCCCAGTGGAGAAGCTTCCTTTTCTTCCGGAAATCCCCACTGGGTCCAGGCAGGACACAGCACCTGTCACTGAAGCCTCAGACAGGAGCCAGTGGAAGGGATGAGCACACTGCAGGAGGTCCACGCCCTGGCCTGCACCCAGCAGACCTGGCTAGCAGCTCCTTCTCTCTCACAGGGACAGCAGGGCCAGACAGGGCAGGGTGGGGCTGCCTAGCAGACCGGGCCAGTGTGCAGACTGGCCTCAAGCCCTGGTGTGCACAGGGGGAGCCAGCAGTGGTTCAGAGGCTCAGCCACTTGCTGGAAGACCTCAGGGTTCGAGATGGGCAATGGCTCACTGCCCTGTCCTTAGTGTTCGCTGACAGGCGTGGACATCTGCATTTTCTCTATTTGTTGCAGTGCTGGAGATAGAAGCCAGGGCTTCATGCATACTAGGCAAGGGCTCTGCCACCAAGTCACCCAGCCTGCAGCATCGCTCAAGTCTGTCTGTTTTTTGTTGTTGTTGTTGTCTTTGTTTTTTTTTTTTTTTTTTTTTTTTTCCCCCAGTAC